TAGGTTGTCAAAAAAATGTTGACCATTTCTCTAGCTATCACGTATCTCAAATAATGAGTCGCGTCTTTAAAAACCGATTCCAGGCTGTGCCCCAAAATTGTTGGAGTGCCCTTATTATGCCCATATTATTATAAAGATGAATAAAATGTATGCGAACATTACCTATACTTTACCGTTTGATCTATCTAAGGTCTATAAGATAATGTTATTTTTATGGTCAAGATGCGTTGTCAGAAGAAGCGGCCCAAAGATAATACCGAAACTTTGCCTTGAAGCGGTCGACCAATTACGGAAAAGGCTAATGAATTTATTGCGAAATATAAGCGACACCGGCGCATCGGTAGCCATGGTATCCCCAAGGAACTGGACATCCACTATCACGTGGTTTTGGAGAGCGTACCGAAAAAAACTGTCGATGTTTAGGTACCACACGAAGTGGTACTTTTATCAGCGAGGCTCTTAACGCAACAAAATTTAAACTGTTTTGTGGTTACTACATTTTTTAATTACATGCGATGAAACGTTTATCAAAAAGAGAATCAACACACTATGTAACGAAGCCGTGACCGACGCCAAACAAGCTGATACCATGTGTTTAGTGGAAATGTAGAGGAATCGTACATTGTGAGTTACTACCCCATACCAAAACAATCGATTCCGATTTTCACTATCATCAGCTATCAATACTACAATAGCTGAGAAAAACTGATCATAATTAATAAAGACAAAAAGCGTCGTCTTTTATGATGGCAATGCACATACATTTAGTTACCCCACAAAAGCTGGGAAAGCTTCGATGAAAAAACTATAATACATTTGCCGTATAGTCCGGGCCTACGGAAATCCCTAGGCGGTACTCATTTAGTTAGCTCAGATCACCTGCTAGAATTTTTCGCCCGAAAGTTTCAAAACGAGGAAATTCAATTGCTATCGGAAAATCGTTGGCGAAAACGACGCTTATCTAATTTTGCAATATTAATTTGAAAAGGAAAAATATTTGCTTCAATATGGATATTAAAACGGTCAGAGTTTTTTTCTTTTGACAATTTCACATATACATAATGCAAACGTGGATAGAAATACCACGCTTAGATTAGACCATAGATCCGTACATATATATTCTGACATGGTTACAATATTAGTACGTATATCTGTTTATCTATACTTCTATATATAACAGTATCGATACCACCGCATTGACAATAGGTCGGCACCAACGTTATCGTCGGATAGTACTCACTTTCGTTTCGTTCGGCACTTCAGTGCGATAGAATGCGGTCTTCATTTCCTAGAACGTAACTTCAATTTTCTCTTGTATTTTTTAAAATATCGTTTTCGAAGCAATGGGATCCGTATGGCGTCGCATCGTATTTGTGATTTACCACGAGCATCTGGCTGAGTTTTGTCAACAACTAGTTTGACAAAATGTGGTGACTAATTACTACTATTAGCTAATATTGTTTTGCTACGAAAAAGCCTACTGTCGATTACTAAAAATAGATTCGTATATATTTATATCGTAATCGTCTATATTTCTTCTTATAATTTATGACAGTATGACACACACACGTGGCTATGCACTTTATCATACCCGTCTGATAATAGCGCGTACCGAGACGTATTTGGTATATTGATTAATTTTCCATGAGTGTTAAATAGGGCCGTCTTCGGCCCATCCTGACCGCGCAGCGCTGCAGACGAAGTGGAAAATGCCCTGCGTGTAGGAAAGGAAACAGGACGTTGAGCGTGGCGGTCATCCTCGGTTCGCCCTTTTCTAATGAAACTGTTTGGTACACGAACGAAAAAAATAATACAAAAAGGTGAAGGAATTCACTTATTTCATATATATATATATGCAAAATTAACTTCTTGATTATATAATGAGACTATAATGCTTCCATGTCTTCAAACATTTGTATTGTTAATGTACTTAGATTGTGGCGTTGTGTTTTTACTCTAAATATCATTGAGATTTTCAGTGGATTTTCAAATGACGACCCATTTCGATAAATCACTGATTTCGACCTCGTTATCATTGTCGTGAGGTAACATATCTTTCGGCCTTCTTTTTGGTCATGTTTTTAATGTCTTGGATGTTTCGTCATCATTTGCTGCGGCGGAAGTTCGACCGGAAGACCGTGGATAGGTCAAGACGCCCACAGCTATTATTGCATCCAAGCATGTTGTAGCATCGCTGTTTTTCTGTAGCATTTGTCGGTTGGTGTCCCCATATAAAAGCAATTGATCTTGAACTCTCTCTTGAAACTTCATAATGGATGCCATATGTATATTTCAAAGCATCAACGAAACTCGACGGCCTTTCCGAAGTCTATTTGCGTAACCACTTGGAATAAAGTAACGAGTTATATGTTTTTCTTTTGTTTTGTCGTTGGGTGTCTCAGGTTCTATTGTGCTGATCGATACCTCCTGATACTATTATAGTCTTCAATTTCATATATGTACAGAAAGGTTATGTGTGTGTATGGATGTATTATATATGAGTTCTTCATGCCTTCTAGCATTTTGCCACCAATTCTGCTACTACTCCTCAAAGGCTAGCTCCGTCAAGGAATTTGTCCTATACGCAAAGTAATTTTACACTGGACACAAGATAAATTAACGTAGGCCATCTGAAAAATGTCCTTTTTTTTTGTCTGTACACATTGGCAACTTAAAAACGCGATAACACGATTTCGCGTATGAACGACTGAAGTCTACATGCAAACAACCCGAGATTTACTTACCTAGACAAAACAGGATCGACTGTGTTATAGTTGTCATTGCAACTATCAGTATAGTTGTGATATGCTTTATGAATCCAGCCTTTTACAGGAAATTTACTTATTTCAGCCTTGTCAAAGATAGTCATATTTAGATTATAGTTGGTACTAATAATAATGACAGATGTTTTTTTTTTTTTTTTTTTATAAAATTTGTCGACTTAATTCTATCGAGTTAAAACTTACAGTCGAAAATTCTAACTGGGCTCTATTCAGTGGAATAGCTATGTTAATCTAAATCTATACGTTTTATGAAGCTATACTCATAGGTCAACCACATTTATCTATTATCCAGCTACTACCCTGGCTTATGTTGAGCATTATTTTCTATTCATGTTTACCCATCGGCATGATTTAGATCGTCTGCTTACCAAGAAATCGTCATCTAGATTTCGGTATATGCGTGCTATACGCCCATAGCAATAGTAAATAAACCAACAAACATTTTATGATTACGCTATTCAGCTAGGAAACATCGTCCCCGTCGATCACAAGCTGAACACGTTCATTTCATTGAAACTGCACCGCATCACGCTCGAACCCTGATCGTTTCGTCTAAAAATATCGGCGAGCCAACAAACGGCTTCTCAACGCCACTCATTTACGCGAGGGCCGCACATTTAGCGGAGAACAACACAATAAAATTCTAAATAAATTTTATATATATATATATATATATATATATATATAACAATTTATTCCGGCCAAAGGCCGCATAGCATGGCCAGAATGACGTAGAACCAGAGAATTTACATGCTTTCATGATCTTGGTTATTAGGACTACGCTTGCTTACCTTGTCGATCGGGTTAGATCCATAGAAAACTTCTAGCCATATGCTAGCGTAATCTATATACATCTGTTTAACGGAAAGCATTAGGACATAACTTCCGTGTAGCAGTGTTTGGTTTGTTAGAGATACGCTGCCGGTTTTCGTCCTAATAGCATGCAAATGACCTTGACTATTTCTAATAATGAAAAAAAAAAGCGTTTTCAGCTCTATGTATTTCTGTGTGCGTTATATCAGATATTCATGGTTGAAAGCCTCTGGGCTTTGTTGTGTAGTAGCTCTACATATCTCATGAAAAAACTGAATCAGTTGCGCTTGCCATCATTTCGTTTAAGTCATCTATCTATCTATGGGACGCTAGTATTTAGAATAGTCTCTTCTCTAACATGGGGCCATTTTATCCCATCCATTTCACTATTAAATAGAATCGTTGAACGCCACTTGAATATTTCCATCGTTACAAAGTTTATGCCACCTGCTGCAGAAGAATTCTGGTCTGCCTCGATCTTGAGAATCGTCTATGAATCCACTGTAAACGATTAGAAGCGCCGGCGGTGCTTCGAGTTGGTTGGGGGGCGTCTTTGTCAAAGAGCCGTAAGGTGACCAGCGTAAGCATAATAACCACAGCCAAGAATGAAAATGCCTGCAAAAACGGAATAAACACGTAAGGGGTGCATACGTTTAACGAGCTCCCTCAAACCTGTTATCATATCGGCTTATAACCTGACGGGGGTTTGATTTCTTCTATAGACACATTGAATACGACTTGTGGCGAGGGCAGATGTGACTCAATACACACGACAGTATCGCGAAGACAGTCATTAATCAATAACGTAGAATACAGCTAAGGAACTAAAACAGGCCCCGACAAGAGCCTGCCACCTGTTGATAGCCTAGCGGGAAACGAATTAGTTTTGTTTAATCATTTTCCGTATTATACATATTGTTATAAATGCTGTAACGGCTTAAAACAGAGATTTGAGGGCGGAAATTATGGGAAACGACCGAGATGCATTGGGCAGTAGGTGAACTTACGATGGCCATGTCCAGCTTCCCGATGGAACTTTTGCATTTTTCCGCAAGTGAACTATGATTTCGTGTGTTCACAAGAACAGAGGCCGATATCAGCGAGAGTAATATTAGCTTACAATACACGCAGCAGTCCTGGAGAAGGAGCACCCAAAAAAGAAATCATCAAATCTTACCATCTGACTCGAAGCCTATGGAAGCAAACAGAATACGTATAGAAATCGTTCATTTTCTATGAGAAAACAGATCTATTAAATGATCATATTTAGCTTAATTCCCCCGATCATTATGAGTCTATGGAAAACGCAAAAAGAGGATAGAATCTATAACGCATATCGACATGAGCCTTATATGTTGAGATCGAATATCCGGGCGGGCCTTAATCTTAAGCGAATTAGCAATATTTCTTATAATGTATTCTATATATCTATTATAATGTATATATTAAATGTAATCACCGTCTTTTTTATTTATACCATCAATTTTTGAGAATTTTATCATCAAAACATCTAGAGTGATTTAAACTATGCCCATAATTCCACTTTGGCCAAAAATCAGGGCTTTTCTTCGCAGGGCTTTTCCTTTACTGCCTTGTCCTTCGATCAAAATGCGCAAAAATACTATTTTTAAGTGCCAGTCGTAGCAAGCAAAGCCATTGGAAATTAATAAACCAGATTCTTGAACTACTTGTCCGCCTCGGACAAACCCTGTTCCGTTATAAATCGCTGGGTTTGTTTCAAAGTGCGCTTAGCAGGAAAATGCTTTCAAATATTTAGAGTGTTGCTTTCCCCTAGAAAGGTCGAAAAGGCTTTTAAAGCTGAGCGGTGGGTTATCCATTATTAAATAATTATAATTACGTTTTCTTAAATAAATATAACATCTATACATTTCTACATTTATGACACAGATTTATCTCATAGCATAAATCAATAAATGTAGCATTAAAGAGTTTTCATCATATTGCTAGAGAGTCTGTAGGAGAGAGAGAGAGAGAGAGAGAGAGAGAGAGAGAGAGAGAGAGAGAGAGAGAGAGAGAGGCCAAAAACCGCAAATAAAAATCCAATAGATTACATTGTTTTCGTAATGCCCCTTCTACCTACGGCATCGTGTGACCGGCGTTGTAAAGTAACGACGTACTTTTACATGTAGCAAACGCTATAAATAAGTTCTATGAACGAACCATAACGGTACCGTGTAGGACACAAGCACCTCACGTTCTCCACAGCTTTAATGCCAACAACCCCGTAATGCCCACATGTGTTTGTTCTTATATAATATCCGCTAGACCGGTTCCAAGGGACGTTTTAGATTATTTAATGTATCTCTTGCAAATTTAACTGGGCTCTGTGAAATGCAGCAGACAAGCCTATATATAAGCCGCAGTTTCGAGGTCACGTCGGTTGAAGTTGAAGCGAATCCTTGTTTCGATGCCCTCTTACACCGGAGTAGTAAACCCTGTGCAGCCCGCAGATAAGAACGTTTAATAGGTTACCGTTCCATGGCACAGCCAGCTAACCATGAAGGGCCCTTATGATCAGTTGATCCCGGTATCGGCAGCCATCCAGGGAAAAACCAGAAGGAGCTCTAAATTAGCTTAGCTTTACCATTCTGACTGAACCCGATGTAGCTTCGTATTGAAGATATTAAACTTGACCACTTCTACTGGGTACAATATTTTTGATGTCGAGAAGCGAAAATCTTCATTTTTCTGTAATATTCGGCCCTTTACCTGCTATAGCAATTACTACGAAAATTGGCCCCTTTCACTGTAGATTTGTGCGCTTTCGTTATTTGCATCGATTGGACGCCATAGAAATAAATGGATCAGTAAACAAAATGCATGCTTTTTTTGTTGTAAACGGAACCTTTACAAAGCCTAAATCAGGACAATGGATAATAGCTGGATTCTTATTAGGGAAGGGGAGATGGGGATAATGCGGTTTTTTGGTTATAAAATCCACATTTTTTTCATCAGTTGGATTGATCTGATTGATGCTACTAGCTGCTATCGTACTCCTGAAATGTGGGTGCCTGAAAATATGATGACCCTATGTATGAAGTAGCTCCATCAAAAGAACATCCTGTTTTTGTGCTCGATCTATAAATGTCAGAATTCCTTCAATTTTAAGATATTTCGGCGTCCTAATAGTAACTACGTTTTTAGTAAAGAAGATTGCTAATGACGAAATCTCACTTTTATGATTACTTTTCATAAACTCACGAATAGTCTCCATTTAAAGGGGAACCGATAGTTGAACGACGAATTGTCCACGGCGATCCACGCAAGCATCGCGGCAAATGTCACAGAACAAATGAACAAATGCACGTTGAGTGAAAGGGAAGAACCGGTCAGTGCTGTCTCAGTCGGTGTTGGATTTGGGCTTGGCGTCACGTATCGAGAGACCCAGAAGCCATTGTCCCCTATTGTTGGTCCGACAGATGATGTTGTTGTGGTACTAGAAGTCTCACTGTGTGATGACCTCGGGCTCGCGTGACAGCTGTCGCCCTTGAAGAAGCTAAGCAAGAGAAAAGCAAACATCATACATCCCTGAAATAGAAGAAACACACGACTATAGTAATAACGCTTGTCTGATCAGCCGCATCTGCTAAGGTACAGCTAGAGACTTAATAGACGTTTTAAGTTCCCCATAGGGTTTACCGAATCGTTAAACTTTATTACACATACACGTCTTCGCGAACAATTCACGTCACTGGGCGCAACAGCCGCCCACTGCACTATACGTATCGTAGGTAACATGCAACAATGCTGCAGTAGAGCCGCCTACCATCACAAAACATCTGACGGGTTAGTGAGAGATAACCTAAAAGAAAGTATAGAGCCTAAAGTATAGTCGAAGCATCGATGTATGAACTTTTGCGAAAATGGTTCAATCCGGTCAATGGTTCAGTCGCATTGGTTTGTCACACACGCTGCTGGGAAAGTAACATTAACGTAGCTCTTGTTTGAAGGAAAATCTGATAGTTTGAGCAATGTGGCAGAAATTACGCGCGATCAATTGTTGAGCTATACATGTCGTTGTTATAGATAGAAACAATTTCCTCCGGAGACCGCTTATCTAATCGATAGTTTGAGATACTGTGTTGGTTTCCTAAGGATGAGGTTGAGGCGAAGTCTGTACTAAAGTTAAATGGATTCGTGGCCGAATGCATAGAGGAGAAACACAACAATGCTATAGTCTAACCGGCCGCTTCAGATTGCTTTCTGAGCAGAAGAATTCTAGTCGTCAAAATATTGTTTATTTTGTCCAATAAAAGGAAGAACCACTTTATTTCTATGTGCGTTTCTTGACGCCCTAAAAAACAATAGCAAATTCAGTAACTGTCGGTAACAGTATTTGTATACTCGATTTTGTGTGTGTATGATATAGGTACGTTGAAGGTAAGATTGACCAGGTGCCAATAGAAAGTCATCGTAGCGTGGGACTTACGACAATTGCTGTATTATATACTATCTATAATATAACAATACACGTATGTAATAATCAGTCATTTCTCGTCTAACACCTAGCTTTATGATTTTTCTTTAGGTCACATCAAGAACACGTCAGTAACCGGGAATTATAAAAGCAGACAATTATTAAGCCTCTAGAAGTCCACATGATCTTTCTTAGCTAACAGAACCTCAAGCTTTTCTTATTGTAATAGATAATATAATAGTTTACCATTATTGAAAGACGAAGTGCTCCAACAGCAGTTGCGAAATAGGCTTTGTCCCAAAAAATATGAAATTTCGAAGGATTCATAGCACCCGCATTTTTTGAAAACCGTGTCGGAGCCTGCCAGTATCCATCACTGGCTTCAGTTGTGCCTAGAAGAAAGCGTGCGTTAGGTGCAGGAAGCTCCTCCGACGGCATTCGCTCATCTTCCAGGGCGACCGGCTGGAAAACGGTCAGATATTGTCAAGGAAAGCCTGTTAACCGCGATTGAAAGTGTTTATTTAAAGCATCAAACTTAATGCTGTGAAGATCTGTGCAGTATGCCCTATGAATGTGATTTAAGATGCAAATTAAAACGATATTTATATAAATCGCTGACTAAGTAAATTTTGTAGTTTTCTCAAGTTCACATAACACACCAAGCTGAGCACTTTTCAGGTTGTGATGGATTAGTTAACACACCAACAACGTCATAAGCCTGTCAACTTACATTCGAGATTTGGTGAGTAACAGGGGACCTAAGCCGGGTTTATGTACTACATAGACTGCGTGGTAGAAAATAGAGTAACGTTGTTGAAAATTTGTGATGACTCAAGTGTAACTCATACCGTCTGGCATAGAGTATCGCCGAAAATTGAAACAAAGCCTCCGTCTTATTAAATCCAAATTTAAGCACACGTAGGAACAGATCTGTGCGAAATTTTATCTGAAATGAACCTAAATGCTTTTCTAGTAAATAGAGCAAGCTATATAAGTTAAAAGGTTATGTATCGCCTAACTAGATCGGAACGAATACAACTCCATATGAGATTCGGTGCTTAAAATATAAATAGCTCTACGGTTCAGTATTGTGTCTTATATATTAGCAACTATTCGCAATTAATAATTATCTAATTCGTCAAAACAATTATATATATATATATGGTTTACATACGTATATATATGGTCTACATACATATATATATGTATGTAGACCAAGACGCTCTGCACCCATACTTCATAATCAATATCAATTGAATGAATGAACCACGAAAAACCGAGCTTATTACTATAGTCAATGCACGGGATAACTGTTTTGAGTCAATCAGCGAGGTCTTCAGTCTGTAGGACAAGCGGCCTAATTATCACCTCCTCGACTTTTTATCGAATTTTTCATTGCCGTTTACATGTAAAGCTCTGAAGCCTCCCAGCTTCGGGGTACCGTCTTTGATCGATCGTGAATCTTTGATACGCACATTTCTGCGGACGGTAGTCCCTCTTACACGTAGAGTAACGTCGCTGAGTATTTTTGCTAAATATTTTTGTATCGCTTCCACTGCCGACAGAGCCGTCTTAGCCTTGGCCTTAAGTTTAACTTGGATACTCAATCGCAAAAATCCCTCGCCCGAGACACGCGAAATGGCAGAGCTCAATTGAGGTTTCTTAGATTCTTGAGCACTTCCGCTACCACCACCTTTATTTAAAAATGGTGATGGTCAGGCCACAATAGCCACTGCGGTCGACGCGGTATTGCGCTCATGTTCTACCCTAGATATATGCTCACATAGCTTAATATAAATAAATCATTTCTCCGTTTACGCGGGTTATTAACGTAAATTTAAATTACAATCTCAGGTCTTCCACAATCGGAAGCTCAGCCGTCCAAACTTCATACGATATAGATTACATAATATGTGAAGATTAGAATTTATCGCAAATATCTCATGTCTAGATTCAGTTTTCGGACATCTTCGCAAAGCCAATACAGCTTAATAAATCTAGCACGGGGTACGATTAAGCTGCCAACTCCTACTGGAAGACTATATATATGTGATGAATAGAATGAATTACTGAAGAACAAATGCTGAAAATTACGTCACAAATCGTATATTAAACAAACTATTCGATAACCATGTTGAGGCAGAAAAATGAAGGCAAAACAACGTACACGAACGACTCTTCCACTTAATCCTAATTGTCAAAAAAGATACATATTATAGTTGGTCAATTGGTTGGTTATAGTTGGTCAGATGCTGTGCAAACTATCCACGGCCAAGTATACCCCCCACAAACCTCAAATATATTTATATATAGTAGCAAACAAAACTACGCTTTGATTGGATCAATATAAGAGCTATCTATAGCAAAGTCGATATATATGGGTGCCTTCTGTAAACATGTTTTGGATTAGTGGGATGATTAGTGGAAACAATGGTGACCCAGTGCCGTTTGGCGATACAGAACGCTTATATTAATGATCTTGAACAGCTGCAGTGGCAACAGTATATCAATCTCATAAAGCTGTTCTAGCTTAATCAGATTTATTTCTTAGCGTTATTGTCTACCGCAACAAGTACCGAATATGTCAGCCACTATGTTTACTTTAGATAATAACTGGGCTAGTTTTTTATGATCGGCAATGCCTCGTAAAATGTTCCTCGTGCATCCTCTAGTGAAAATTATCAAGGCAACGACTTCGTCCACATGTTTCTGGGACATTGGAGGATATGATCATCAAAACTACTCCATTAAATTCCGTTCAGTTCTAGATTGTTAAAGAAGAAGAAGAAGAAGAAGAAGAAGACTGGCAAATGCGAAACCAGTCAAGAGGGGCATTGTTACAGCAGTTGTAGACTTTATAGAGTATCGCCCTGGCAAAGATAGCTCTGTCATAGAATGTCTTCTTTGTTTAACCCCCTACGCTGGTCTGTGAGCATGTCCTTCATTCTCGTTGTGGCCCTGCCAGTCCCCTGCTGTGTTTGGTGCGTTAGTGATTAAGGCTTTTGTAACTGAAGCATCGTTCTATCATGGACAGTCCTTACGGTTTGAAATAGTTATTTGAGATTACCACACGGTCAAAGTGGCTTTGGATTTGTTGGTCCCTATACACAGGGAGGTCTCGGCTGTGTCTACGACCTGCATGACACAGCCATATCTGTGTCTCTTCTGACCAACCTTCGCGTTAAATATAATATATCAAATACATGTAAAATGCATTATAGGACATAATTGTTTCTCAGAGAATGCCTGTACAAATATACTTTTGGCAAAACGACTTATTTCTGTCGTACTCCGTCGAAACATTAAGAAAGTAATGATTTAGATTACATCTATTCTGGCTACATACTGAGTTGGTCAACGATCTGTCCAACACGGCCCATTTCTTACAAAAATTTTCCTCTAACTTCCCTGTAAAAATACACCCTACTGAATAACAATACAGATTTTTCCTACTGACTGCAGATTTCTCCTGGAGACGAGCAACACCCCGTCCCCCTTTCGTGTTTCGTCTTACCCCAGTAACTTCTATGCGGCTCAAATACTCGGACTCTCATACGCCCTATTATTATCCAGGAGCGTTATGCATGTGTGCAGAGCTCCAAGCAAACGCAAATGAAGTCTCTCCACCGAGCGCACAGCGCACTCTTAGGCTTCAGCCCATTCTCGTTTTCCACTGCTATTCTTTTCAATAGGGTTTTGTTGGCTCGTGCTTGCTTTAGCCAACTCTCGTAAGTCAACTTATGGACTTCTCCGCTTCGCAGACAGGGCGGAACAGGACCAGACAGCCTTGCGTTTTCTTCGAGCCTACTAATTAAATGTGCCAAAACAAGACTACAACGATGTTACGCGAAAAGGCGTTAACAGAGTAGGACAACCCCAAGAAAGTTGACCGAATTCAACAGAATCCAACATAGGCTAGCTGCCTAAAAGAACTCTGCAACACGCGATGCTGCACGACAGTTTTCTTTTTTTTTCTAGTTCTCCGTATTCTTTTTATCTGTAGATCGAAACCAAGATTAAGTCGCTTAAGACCGGCATACAGCCGACGCCTTGACGTCTGTCTTTCGTCCGGTGTCGCTACAGAGAATGAAACGACGTAGCTCCTCCAGAAGCTCTATATAACTTAACTGACTGAGAACTAGGGAGCGAAGGCTGCGGCGACGCTGGCAGCGGCAACAATACCGAAACGTTGACATGAATGATACAACCGCATATGTTGACGCCGACCGACGGAAAACCGGCTTGGGGGTCAGTAGGTTACTGTATATAACGAGAAGCTGTGCTCGTTCAGACTCCATGCGTGCTTTAGACATATGCATTGCTTATAGTGGCACGTAGCCGCATGTACAGTGTAGTCGCATTTTAGGCTAGTATTTTGCTAACAAGACTTAACTTTAGCCAGACAAACATTACCCAAGATAAGAGGGTATCAGAGGTCCAACTCAACATAGGGAAAGAGCACCGTAGCCCGGTGGCAGGTTTCGTTTTGTATAGGACCTTATTATTGGGAAACGTTGTTGTTGTTGGGGCAAGAGTATCATACGGATTTGACTGTATTCGATAATGGATCAGAATAACTCAATAAACGCATTTATCTATACGTTTATAGAAATTACAAAGAGGCACAGTATTCTAAGATATGCTTATCGCTATCTACAGCTGTATTTTAGGTGCGTGAAACAGGTTCTGAAAGCTCCAGCGATCATATGCACGGCCTCAACACGCCGGATGAGAGCTGCACGCGAGCTATTGCTTGGGAGAACTCCTAGTAGTGGTCCAATAATTGAAAGGCGTTTGAGCGTATGTTATAAATTTTGTCTAAATGCCGAAAAAAATCCAATTACAATGGTACATGTCACAGATCAACGCCCTTTTCACCAATCAGACCCGAAAAGCTTCGGTGATGACTACGCCAATCGCTAAGCTGAATACTTCATAAATAACTTGGATAGCAACATGTTCAATTCGGTTTTCTTGTCACTACCGACAAAATAACCCGGAATCTCTAATAGAGAGCGGCCCATATCATGTCATAGTGCCGACCCTATAAAATGAGTCAACTAATAAACATCAATTAAGTGACACAAGATCAATTTGAGAAAGAGAAATGGGCTACAGACTTGGACTAATCGCAATCGGTCGCGTGTTGGCATCACTGTATCCGCTCAAGTACGATGCTAACACATTGGAAGATTTACTCTAGGGTATAAAGTCAAGCAAAAATGATAGTTAAACTAGGCTATTTTGCCGCTGCTGCAAGTATCTTTAAAAGGTCGTCTGGCCGGTGAATGAAGAAGACTCTACATCATCAGTACTTAATAACGTTATTATGTCCACCTTATGGTGGCAAAAATCTACCTTCTTGACAGGTAAAAATGTATCTCATGGCTTGTTCATTGTGAGTAGTTCTATTTCGTGGGTCTTCAGAGACTTCAAGTTGAGTTGAGCCCAGCTCCCTGACAAAGTGTAGTCGATTCGGGCTACCTTAAGCAGCACCAAAAACTATTCCAGCATCAAACAGAACGTGATTTAATCACTGGAAGCTAGCCCCATTTAACACTGCAAAATCTATTCATGGACTAAGGAACCTTGCTTACTTCACAGACGTCAGGTTAGAAGTTTTAGAACGTGAAAGCTGAATCTTAAAGATCTATACCACTGAAGAATAAGACGTACACTAGTTATAGGGTCACGACTTAATACACTTTTTTTTAAATTTAAAAACTTTTAATCTAAAAACGCTATTGAAGTGCCTTAAGGCTGGCTCTTACTATATTAGCAACGTTTACTGAGACAATTGCTATTAGATTCACTGCGGTATAGATTGGCCAGTCATTGAAAACATCGTTTTGTATCAAATGAGTATGATCTTGTCCTACGTAGGCTCAGCTGTCTAGATAACTGTCAGAACACGATTCTCAAACACAAAAGAGGCTATAAGATAGTATCACTGATAAAGATTTGGCTAAAAAGTCAATGAATTGAAGATGAAAATTGTAGTCCATAAATATCAGAGGTTCGCACAAGGCCGAAACCGCAGTCAGAGCCTGTCAATGTTATGAACGATAAAACGCCCCCAATTCCGAATGAGTTTTATAAAACTGAAGAGAATCGGCTCAAAAAAGGGCACGCTAGGATAAGGATTTTTACTATTTGACATAGGAATTTCGATCCGAATTTGATTTGGGATATTTATGAAGTACAATTTTACGTTTCAGCAGGCCAGTAGATGACGTTCGTCTGAATGGAATTGATCAAAATAGTTTGCAAGGAATGCTTCGTGTATCCTAAGGATTTTATTTTTGCTTTCAAGTTTTCATAAAACACTCCTTGGATTATATTTTGCATCGCCTCGTCAAGCTCAACTTTATTGTGGCGTACGATTTTTTTGGACTTTGCCTGGCAACCCACTCAAAGAATGGAGCAAAATTGATAAGAGATGCAGTGGCGGTTTTGTTTCACGCGAGTGAGCCAAGTGCACGTCATCACGCTTTTTTAGCGATGCCTAGAATGGCGAGTTAGCGAAGTAGATGATTTGGCCTGGCTAGCGTTGCAACATTTGTCCTCAAGGCTCTGTTTCGAAAAATCGTCAATTCCTCGTAATTTCATGAATTTCTCTATTAAAAGCTTTCTCAAAGCAAACAGGTGTTGGTGGTTGTATGTTTTTACAATACTGAGCGGGCAACCTGAAAGTCAGCCGAAAATTGTATAATGGTGTACGTTATGTATGTTTATGAGGGCTTGTCTGAGCCGTTTCGGAGTGCGTATCGATCGACCCAACTGGTCACAGTGTTCCGTTAGTACAATAATAACCTTTTAAAGTTAAAAAAAAACTGCTCAAATTATAGCGCGCGGTCAAACTATGGCTCTATGTGCATTTATAATAATGATTCAGGGCGCTTAGATGTAACCTATGGAAACACAATTCAGATGCTTTATGTGGCCTTGAATGAAAAGTGAACGAAGACTAACAACAGAGTTATTCAATTTCACCTGTAAAAAAATCTTCTACGAAGCCACATTGGCTACAACTATGCTAATATTACGGGATATTTTACGGTACGAGCATGTTTCGGCGAACCCGACGCTTGATGTAAATGTAAACTAAGGAAAATTCGAATTTGCGCGTACGTCTGGAAGCAGATACGTATCAGTCGAAAGAAAAAGAATAACTTAGAAAAACCAGCCTATTATCAATATACCAACTTCGATATTTCTCTAATCTTCTGTAGGGCCTGCTAGTGCTGTTTCACACACGCGATATTTCAGTTATCTAGTAAGGATCACATTGGCCTAAAAGGACGTCACTAGAAGCGTTAATATTATTTTTCTTGGAGAAATAATAAAAAAGAGTCATCGTAAAATCCAGACGTCTGACTACTGGAAGAATTCAACCGTGTCTAATCATTGGCACGTCAGTTGGACCTATCATTTGGCCCCGCTGCGACTTACATCTGTTCTCTAGCACTGTATATTCATTATGGCAATGTGTACATATCGTTTGTTGCTGAAAACGTTTCTGCGCATTTTGCTTGTTACTATTTGAGCATGGTGATCTCCTTTCGCCTTCTGCATTATAAGTTCGAACGCGTTCCAGGACGCTAGGAGCAACATCCTGATACAAACAGATGCAAAGTTACACGTGACCAGCTCTGCCGTCAATCGATACCTCTCAAACTCGTTCTAATCTTCTCATATTCTATTAAATGAAAAACGTCACAATTGCATACTGCGCTCTCGGAAAATGTAAATCTGTATGAAAGATTGTTAGTTTGTAGTATGCACGCATTCGAGATATTTCTGACAGGATATTGTTAGCGATATTGACAGGACAATCGCTGTTACATGGGCCAGCAAATAGGATAGGACTCATTCAGCTGTTCTAGTATTGTCTTCGCTGAAGAGACGATAAACATTTATCCGGTAGTGGGTAGCAGGCCCGGGTGTTTAAAGAGTAGAGTATGCCTCTCGCCTGAATCGCGTTTCGCGATGAAAAGCGACGCCACTGTGGCATGACACTTTGGTACTTGTGGTTAGGATGGCAACGCTGAGATATCATTGCTCTTTGGCTCTTCGTTATGTTAATAGCCTTTTTTTTGCAGGTTAGGATATAGATAGTAGATACTCTGTCATGAAGTGGACCAATACTACATGTGTCTTTCCTCTTAATTTATCAATAGTTCGGAATCTGTCTTGTTGCTCTTTTTCTCTCCCGATACCTCAGCTGTCAGGTGTTTTCTATAAGGTATATAGCACAGCATGCTGAACACCGCCAAACAATTTTAAAGGATCTAGGTTACGACATGAACTTCGGTCATATTTTTCGTAATTTCGAAAAGAAAAGTATGGTGAGTGGTCTGTCTGCACGTCCAGATATTCTCGGTTAAGGTCCGTCGGCGTGACGAAGTAAATTCAAATGCAAAAAAAACAATGGCATGTTCTAATATCGTAGAAGTATCGACCAGAAAATAGGAGAGGGAACGAATTGGCATTTTATATATGTAACTCGGTGTTTTATACGCGCGTGTAGATACCTTGAGTTGTGAATCGTCGATAAGCAGACAGGATGTTCGGGTGTCAGGCACGAGACACTGCGACGCCTCTTCGCTTTCCACTATCATTCTGGCACTTAACGGATCCATTTTGGCCTACAAGAAAATAACAGGTTCCAAATGGAGGGAAATACTACAAAATAACAATGAGTCGCAGGACACCAGCGGCGTAAACAGAATCGACAGCCGCTTCAGCCGCTGGAAAACGGGTACAGGTCGCGTGGCTTACACCTTACGTGCTTTTTGAACTTACTGTGATTATATACAGGACAAACGGTCGCAGCAGCAGCAGCAGCAGCAATAGATTGAAGTTAGACGCTACGACGGGTGCCGAAATAGGCTTCTTAGCGCGCGCTGGATTGGAAATAGAGCTTACACACACATTGAGGTAAACGCGGCATGGCTCGGCAATCAGCAACGCACGCCTATATGGTGGGCGCACGCTAGTGGGTGAAGTTAGTCGTCAAGCCGACAACACGGTAGAGATCGCAGCACTCCCTTTACGGGTGCGTTACAGGACTCAGTTTAGGTTGTATGTCACACGGGCTATTCTGATAAAATCCAGTCTTCTCTAGTACAACATTGTACAGCGCTCATTCGATTCGCTTTCAGTCTGTTAATGCAGTACAATGTAATACACCTGTTTGTCTTGTTATTACACGCAAGTGCCTAAAGTCATTCGGAGCTCATTTCTGCCGATACCCTGCCATTACGATTCAATGCAATGCATAGCACGCGCTCACACGTCTTTTTGTAACCACTTCTTCCACGACAACGCCGATGTTGCTGTAATATTGATTTAATTCTTTTCTACTCGTAGGGGGTCTATGAATGTTGCATCGCCGTGGTTATAGGCCAGATATGCTGGGTTTCAGTTTCCCCCCAAGGCCTCTTAAGAATCCCGTTATTGGCTTGAGCTGATCCTTGCCTTATTCCTTGTGGTTCCTGCCTGTAAGACTCTGCCTGTAAGCGATGCGTTCTTCCCGGGTCACTAGCGTTGCTGTCCAGGTGCAATGCGTCGCAGTCGCGCACAAAACCCAATAGGCCAACCGCAAACGGTCGCCACCAGTGCTGTGGCAATGATCTGCAATTGAGCTCGGTCACAATGTCAGGCACAGTAGTACTAGTAGCAATATTTTTTGTCTATTTCAGTGACGCTAGTTCATTCCCTGGTAGAGGACAACACCCATTGCCATTGACTGAGCTGTTTGGCCGCATCAACGCTTGACGCTAGTTGACGCAGCGGAGCGTTCGCTGTAGCACCTCACAGAGGAAAAGCACAGACTCAAATGAAGACACGCGGTGAAACAGAGGAAAAGACAAAATGTAAGAACGACACGAGACGCGACACGGGCCGACTGCCGATCTGTCTGTAGTCCGTACAACAGAGGCCGCGATACAATCGCAAAGGTCCTTAGCTCACACAAGCCGGGGTGCGCTGACGACTGGTTGATCAGTTTGGTAACTATCCAGCGACATGGTCAACCAGTGAATAAAACAAAACATTCGGTAAGCGAAACAATACCGACTTACGATGCTGACTCGTGATCGAATATCCGATGATTGTATGTTCGCTGCTGCAAGTATTTAATAGCATGGCATTACATCGAGAGCTCACGATATCGTCATCTTTCTCGCTGTCGCGTTCTGCTGTCGGTATTGTATAAGGAAGAAAGCAAAATCCGCGCGGGTATTGGTTCACACGAGTTCCTGATAATTTTACTTTTGACCCTTTATAGAGTCGTTTCGATAGCTAGGCAGAGCTAAACGCATCAACTGTCGTTCGCGCACCCGCCGATGTCACTGCGTGATCGAGCAGGACCGTGATGATGGCGGCGGCAGGCGAGAATAATGCTCGCTCGGTTTTAGCGCTGTGTCTTGGCTGCTATTGCTGCGGCTGGTAACGGTAGTCGTTGTACGGAGATGTTCGAGAGTATCAGCAGAAAGACACCGCTACTGCGCTCATACTGGGAGAGGGGATTCGGACGCGCGCACGAGGGAAAGAGGACTAATACATAGCAGCTGGCAGCGGAAGCCACGGGCAAGCTCCGCGCGACACCAGCGTCGGTAGCAGCGGGACAGCGAAGAGCTATAACGCTGGTCATTGACGCGTCACGGCTGCTAATACTTTTCCTGCCAATTCTCCCTGCATACGATGAACCTCAGCGGATATTGCAGCGGGGGGTGAGTTTGCTAGCTAGAAGTAGCAGGCGTTTGGGCTTTTTTCTCCCGCTCTATCCCCATCTGTGACATATAGCGGTGTCCACATGACTCGTAGATTTGGAGAAAGTCGCTAGAGGGCGCGAGTGATGTCGAGTGTGGGTTAGAGGAGCATTGGTGGGAGTACGTGGAGCGGTTCTAAATGGGAAACGAGAAAGTAGGGCGAAAAGCCCGCAACTCATAGAGCACACAGAGCAGATACCGCTGCATCTGGTGCTCACCAATAAGGAATGGAAAAAAAAACGTCGGAATAGCTTATTAGCATCAACGATGTTGTAGAGGATATGAAGGTTGATACGCAGTAGCTTTTATTCTTCGATCAGGAAACTTCTGCGCAAAGAGGTCGACGGTGTCTGAAGAACTCTAAAACTGTAGGTCAAGCATTATCTTTTTCGGATCCTCACGGCTGTAGTTTAATCTAAACGTGGCTGTCTGTGAAACATGTGAAACGTTCCTATTTAAGCTCGCTAGCCTTACTGCTGGAACCATCACAGGTCAAAAAGTGCTATCTTCTGCAGGTTAAGATTTAAGTGAAGTTTCATAATAATAAGTGAACATTCATAGAAGTAACTTAAAATAATAATCTGAGCGTTATTTGGATTCTTAGTATCACGTATGAATATTATAGTTGTACGGCATGCCTTGGTCTTACCTTTAACTAAAGATTCATTAGTTGATTGGTAGCAGATTATATGTATTTATACCAAAAATATGTCCTTGCTACACACGATAGAGATGCAACAATTATCTATACCGTCATAAAAGGCTTTAAGCTTAAAGGATGAGGGTAAAAAAAAGATGAAGTGGCCACGGCCGCGAGTACGGTTATGACCAGAAGGACATAGATTCAATATCGGAAAAAAGAGCCTGTCGCACAACGTACAAAAAACAATGTGTGTGATAAACAGTCAGTATATATAAAACGTATAAAAAAGTCTGTCATGCCTAAAACACCTGGCCGTAACAGAGTTCGACAAACTTTCTAGATTATTCGATGGCATGCTATATCTATTAGCCAATATACCCGTAGTGCAACGCGATAGACTTCCCTTCAAACATGGCAGAGGTATGTATGGGTACGTTCGTACGTAGCACAATTTAGATATTTTACTGCTCCACGGTTTTCCCGCCGTCGCCTTTCTCCAAAGGCCATCCTGCTGCGGTTGACAAATTTTGATTACTTCACATTTTTCTAAGAAATTCGAGCGCGTATTTACTGTACACGTGACATGTATACGAAAGCAAAGCTAACGAGTCGGCCATATTACCTGATTTCTGCTCAGTGGAAATTTAATTGTATTTCATGCATTATCTTCTAGAGTCCTGAATGCGCCTAACCGACCAACATGTGCATTTGTCTGAAACATTTATTTTTTTCCATTTTTTCTCTCTGTGTCCTTCCTGTCAATAGCTGGTAGACGATCATTTTCAAGGCGCCATGACTAGATAAATAACTGAATTGCACGGGCAGGTTTGCCCTGTCCATCGGTAGTTGCCGTCGTAGTAACGTATGCGTCACAGTAGTAGTATAGCCGATTGCAGAAACTGCAATTGCCTCGACCTTGTTTTTGTAAGAGTTTCGTTTGCAGTCGCTCTGCAATTTGCAACGTGAAAATCACTGCACTCACTTCCTACAATGATGGTGAGGACCGCTTTTGTTGCTGACATGGCCTCTTCATGTGTATAGGAACTTTTTGCCGGTTCGCCAAGCAGGCATTACGCGAGATTTCAGGAGTTAAAGCGCCTGGATGGCCGCCAAGGCTGAATTGATGTCAGGGCTAAAGGCCAACTCTTGGCTAGTTTTCTCCCTGTCGCTAGACCCAGCATCATCACACGATCTGGCAGCTTGCTAGCGCAGGGCTAGACTGCTTTACCACACGTACGGAGCGTGGTTTTCAGTAGACAAAACACGGACAAACATATGCGACTTTGGGCTAGGCTTCATCGTTTTTGCTGCAGGTTGGAAAAAAAATCACGAGAGTGTAGATAGACACTATGATAGAGAGAATAAAGAAATTCTTGTTTATCGAGACTGTATACATGGAGATCCCTTGGAGAAGACTTGCAAATGCAGGGAACAACCTTTCAACGTTAAACTTTATTTTCAATATCAATTCTGAGATCACAAAAAGAATATCCTCCAAGAATGTTGAAGTGGACATTTAGTAATAAGACTTATAGTTGTTTTATGAATTGGTATATAAAATTATTCTGAGGTCTATGAATGGCGTGATCTAACAGTGGCAGTATGTGAAAATTGGGTTTGCGCAATGATGTGCTTGTTTGTGCGGTTACTGCTCACAAGAGAAGTGAGAAGTATTGATTTGCTTAGCTATTACAAAGCGGTAGGAAGGGTAACATGGCTGCCGATCGTGTAATTGGGTCCTTATGTACAGCAAGATAGAGGGTACGACCCATGAAAATACCACATGAGTTAGTTTAATTATCAGGCCGACTATTCATTCTAAGTAATTCGTAATGGCTAAACACGTTTATTTATATGATCTAAGGTGTGTGGCCAGTTTCCGACACTAAAGGCTGTTTTTTTTTTTACCACATTACTTATAACAATATCTACACGTATGACTGTGCTGTCTGGGCGTATGCACTAATTATGACCAACGAGCAGAAGCTTCTTAAGTCACCTTCTGTGCGACTGCGGTGAAATCTACCATCACTTTTAGAGAACGCGAACAATATTTCTCCAATGTCTGTTACTGTTGCACTTCGGGCGTAGTGACAAGCCTTTGAGTGAAAAGTCCGACACGTAAAAATAGTTTTCAATAGACGATTCCAGTAAAGCTGGCGTACTGGTCTGTTGGCCAGAAGTTAACATGCAACTGGGATGTATGTTTGAATCACTGAAGTGGTGTATCGTGTTGAGACAAAGTGTGCTGACAGGGTTCGTCCCGAGCGGCCTAATATATAGTAACAAACCTTGATAAATTCATTTTCTTGTAACTTAATATAGTTTATTCAAGACCAAGACATCTGTATACCTTATAAAATTGATGTTGCCCTGCAGTCCATTATCGACAAATGACGATGATGACCTGGGGTGAAAAATTTTAGTTCCTTCTATTTTCTTACTGTGAAATGTAATGTCAAAAGGATCGATGTTTTTACAGTAATTAGTGGGGTTTGCACGCAACTTAATGTTTACCTGATGTAATGCAGCGTGTTTACTGAAGTGGCACGATCGGGGGGCTGCAATAAGAAATGTCTGACGGAACAGCAGTTACAAGAAAATTTCGAGCATAGCGCAAGCGGCTGACAAAACAGGTACAACGACTTTGGCTTCAGAACACGGGTTCCGACCACGTAGGTCAGAAAAGTTGGAAGTTGCACATGTGAATTGATCATCGTGCGGCGACAGCCGCTGAGTCCAAAAATACAAATTTCTATTTTGTCACATATGTATCTTTATATGCAATATTTTGTCATAGGAAGAACAAGAAGCTAAAACTACTTGAACACTCTAATACATTGAATAAAAGCATCCTAGCGTGATTGTTATTACAAAGACCCAGAATGAAGGAACAAGGGATAAAGGGAGAATTATCAAATACTTCGGAAAATAATTTGCGCGGGATTCGAGTGAACGTGTCATGATCACTAGGACTAATTAGAAGTCCTTCTCGTCTCTTCTCTGCTATGTCAACAAGTTTTCTCAAGAAACGAAAAAATCCCTATTTATTCACTTCTATTTTATTCTACGGTGACCATACTCGTAGTACATCACCTACATACAAGTAGGTACATTGCGTAGGTGCTACCGAGATACGTATACCAAGGATGGACTGATAATATAACGACTCTCTATCGGTCGGATATGTAAAATGTACTTTGTATAACACGAACATTTAATGCATATCTTTAAATTGTATCGTAATAAATATAATTTTGTGTAGAATATAAGGTGATCATTGTTGTTGTCTATAGTGGCATTCACGAGTGCATACCCATGGAGCGTTCATTTTCAACTTTATTTTCTCAGCCACTTGTAAATTCTAGTAGGTTGGACAATTCGATCCTATTAACTTAGACCATGAACCTTGTCGGCAGCAAAATATACCGCATAAACGACACGAAGGTCTTGAATTGATAGATGCACTCAAGCCACTTCAAAGGAATGATATCGAATAGAACTAGTTGAGGCATTTTCTAATTTCAAATGCTATTGATCATATACTGTTAAGTTGACTATCCGCCGATGTTTATTGTATGGGTAAGATGCAATTGTAGTTAGAGTGATAGTCACTGCAATACCGCTACTGTTCATCTGAATCACGTGAGTCAGTGAGCAGTCTCACTGAGCAGTGAGTGAGCAGTCTCTACCTGCCAGGCGCATTTCGTATGTCTTCGAACACAGGTAGCCAAAAAAGCAGCGAATGTGTACCACGAGCAGCGCCATCTACGAAAACTTTTTCGAAGATCCGCCTCTGCCGATGCTACACAACAGATTCCCCCAGTAGCAGCCTGTTCCAATATGAGCCGGATAAGCCACAACATTTGCTCCACGATCTGTCCGAAGATACTTTAGGCCCATCTGCCAGTTAGCCTTGAAGCACACACTCAGAAAGCGAACGGTTTTAATGTGAAATTGTGACGTTCGACAAAGCGCTTCGAGTTAGCCATAGGCG